TGAGCTAAGGCAAACAATTCATAATTGATTTCACACTAGCGCTGCCTGGTGAGTGAATTCTGAACTAAACTCTAGTCCTGAAGATAGGTCTAGTCCATCAGAACAACTTTGCTGAAGAATGGAACCATATCTGTATGTGCAGGATCTGTAGATAACGTTATATAATGTTTATTTACGATGGCGCAACTTCATCATTTTCATTTTAGCGCCATCTAGTGAGTGAATTCTGTCATACACTATCCATAGTTTTGAAGACCTTGTATTTTTGAACATCTTTACAGAAAGAAGCAACATCCTATATGGTTGGGATCTCGTGATACAAACGTTGCTAACATCAAAATATGCCATTTCAGGGGTATATTTTTGTAATGACCCCTCCCCCCGAGATACCAACCCCTAAACAAAAATTGATAATAGTAACGGAAAGTCCACTAAATTACCTATGCAAAACATTTAAAATTTTAGAAATCCATTGAAAATTCGTGAAGATACGGCAATTTAAATTTGGGGTCAAATTGACACCAAGGTACAGACTACGTAAGTATTTTAATAAATGTTATCCAACAAATATTTTTTTAAGTTTTTTTAACTAAATTTTATCGAGTATTACAGAGCTCCGGTGGATGCGCCTAGTCGTGAAAGAATTAGAAAAATCCATTGTCAAATAAAAAAGTTACAGCCTATCAAAGTGGCCTGGGGTCAAATTGACCCCAAGGTACAGACAAAGGGTTAAGCGAACACTTACACATTCAAGTATGGCCACGATTTTCGCTTGAAACACTGTTGGAAAATGTCCCATTTTTTTTTTTTTTTTTTTCCTTTGGTTTGTTTTTTCCGTCGATCTTGTTTTCCGTGCTGAGCACCAATGCTACCGACGTGCCAGGAAGGCAGCTCCCACACCTGGACCCTACCTATCGACCCATCAACTCATGAACCGGGGACCAACGGCTTTACTTCCCATCCGAAGGAAGGCGTGATCAGAGATGCTATGCCTCAGAACATCCCGGCGGCGTCGACTGGGACTGAACCCAGGCCTGCTGGGGTGAGAGGTAATCACGCTTACCACTACACCACCGGCGCCGTTGAAAATGTCCCATCGCTACTGAAATATTTGTACCAGGGCCAAAGATTCCTGCACCTGTTTGTGTTCCAATTTTTGAGCCATCTGTGAAAAATATGATTGAGCCTTGACGAACGCCACCGACTTCCCAATTCGAACGCAACATTTCACATACGTTGAAGGGAGTGTCATAATTGTCCTCTGGTTTCATCCAGTCCCATTCATACTCATAACTGGTCCTTTTTGGAAGTATTGTAAAATGATTAGGTGATCAACCAGGTCACCAGGCATGACTTTTTTTAGACCTTTTGAGCCTTAGTGCACTTCTTTCCGCTTCTAGTTGCACGTATTCATGCAAGGGCAGTAGATTTAGAATTGCATCCAACGCTTTTGATGGGTTGCTGCGCATCGTACCCGTTATAGCAATACATGCTAGACGTTGTAGTTTTGTCAGCTTCCTCTGTGAGGTAGCCTCTTTTGTTTTTGGCCACCACACTAACTTGAGCTTGAGCTTGAGCTTGAGCTTGAGCTTGAGCTTGATTGACCGCCCACGGTTGCTACTCTGTTACTGCCAAATCAGCTGTAATTACACAGAGAACCAATAGACAATGCTTGGGACTAGCAATCATCCTCAATGTGTAAAAACTGGTGATCTTAAATTAGGCAATACCAGCGCCGGCCGCGCCCGAACACAGGTCAAGAAAGGAATGGGAAGGATTGTGTTGACATGACACTCGCTTTGATGGAAGCCGAGAACACCTCTGCACTTCCACGAGGAATCACTGGGATGTTGGATAAGAGGGTTGGGTTTGCAGTTCTGAAAATCGTTAACTTCGCGTATGAAGTAACATAAAAAACACTTTGAATGTAACAACTCAAGGCGGGAGTAGCCGTCAACAATGCTGATGATGGTACAGCACGCAACAACCACCCTACTGCTTTCTCTCTGAGATGATCACGTTGGTCATGACGAGAGGAGCAACACAATAGTTGGGTAAAGAAGAACTGCATTATAACACACCATCGACTGGAAATGCTCTCGCGACGTGGGGCTTTAGGTAGTGATGAAAACGTCGCTAGAACTATTCCACAGCCGCAGTCAGTTTATGAGCAACAAGAGGGACGCACATTTTTGCCTGTGGACTTGGAGACATACTTCAAGTCCCCGCGTACATCGTACGGGCTAGGCAAAAATGTGCGTCTATCTTGAAAACTGTCGCTTTAATGGCCCTTCGCTCATTTTCAACTTCTATTCAATTTTCATACTGCCGTACTCTAACGGAACTATCCACCTACACTCTTCTAAAGATCATTCCCTAGCTAATAAATCATCACACTAAAGCTTCATGTTAGCATTTCCAACCAACTCAGACGAGCACCTTTTTAATCACCGAGTGCTGTTATTACCATGTAGTCATATTAACAAATAAAACGATTGACGAATCTTGAATGTGGATGGGCCTGAGATTAGACTCATGATGTTCTGCTCAGTAAGCAAAAACGGTTGCTCTAAGGCCACCGAGCCCCTCATATCACATAATACCGTTGCTCAAATTTGTGTATCCATTCAAACCCGGAACCAACGACAACAACGAGTTTCGCAAAATACACGATACACTAGCGATTTTACCATAAATCTCTTTGATATGTAAAGACCTGGGACAGCGTTTTTCTGCTCAGTAAGCAGGCCACTGTAACCGACGATCTTTCAAATCCGAAAACTAAAAACTACGAAAAAGTACTTAGGCCTTCATTAAGTTCCACTTTCACGCGACGTTCAATGACAGGGTCCTATCCAGGATTACATCTAAAAAATCCAAATCTGGCCAGCGCCCACCTAAACCTGTTCTAATCCACCTGAAATGACTAACGAATGGAAGACTTTGACTACCCAGCCATGCAATAGTCTCATTCCGTGCCTTATGGCAACTTGATGATTATATTGCGCTCATCTTTTGGCACCACCCAGGGGAGACTTGGTCCTGTACCCAATGCTTAACTTATCTCCATTCCACTCAGCTACTCGCAATTTCTTGTGATATAGTGGGCGGAATATTATTATATGAGACAATTCAATGCAGACGTCTTTCCAAATTTAGCAGATCGACAGGTAATCGGTGAGTTACCACGATAGTTGCTATTCAACAACTCGACAACGTCCCATCGTCAATGCCTGCTATGAGAATTTCCCATTGCATACGTCAACGAAATGACGTCATCGAGCTATCGATCAACTACCCTGGTTATCGCCTGGTACCTTATAGCACGATGCTAGGAGGCGAACCGGAAGAATCGATGAGCTACCTCTCCCCCCTTGTTTTTGGCCACCACACTAACGAAGCATAAGTTACTTTTGGACGGATTGCTGATGTGTAAATCCACATTGTCATTGTTGGTTTTGAACCATTTTCTACCAACAGTTTTGGAGCATAACCACAGGGAACTGGCTGCTTTGTTGATCACAGAATCAATATGAGCATTTCAATTCATCTTGCATTGAATATAACTCCTAGGTATTTGACCTGTTCACTAAGATGGATCTGTTCTCCTCCAAGCTTGAACTCCTTTAGGTTGAACTTCCTCTTTCTAGTAAAAGGAACGATTACTACATTCTTTCTGAAATGATAGCGTCAAACTTTCCTCTAAATACGATGACTATATCATCCGCAAAGCCCACAACTTCGAAACCTTTCGCCTCTAGGCTTCTTAGAAGATCGTCTACAACTAAAGACCACATTAGTGGTGAAAGGACTCCTCCTTGAGGACAGCCTTTTGTTGCCTTTACTGTTATAGATGAGCTTCCCAGCCCAGAAAAGACTTTTCTTTTTGCAAGCATAGTATGAATCCAGTTAACGATGTACGTGTAGTTCCTTTTCTTCATGGTGTCAACCATAGAAAAATAGGATGCGTTGTCGAAAGCTCCTTCAATATCCAAGAAAGAACAAAGTGCAATTTCTTTAACTGAAAGTGATTTTTCGATTTTAGTTACCAAAGTATGGAGAGCAGTAACCGTTGATTTTCCAGATTGATAATTTTTTCGTTTACCTTTTCAGAAAATGATTTCAATTGTTGTATCGAATCAATATTTACGTCGTTTGTCTAAGAATCTAAGCACTGTGCATATTGATCCTAGTTTGTTTTCCTAGGATCTCTAAATGCAGAAGGTGGTAAATCACCTCCACCCCATTCAAACATAATGTGTTTATGATCAGAAAGTGAGATTTCATCTGACACACGCCAATTTCGAATCTTCTCAGAAATTGCAGTGTTGCAAAATGTCAAGTCTAAACATTTCTGTCTAATGGCATTTGAAAAAGTAGGTTCATTTCCTTTGTTGCATATGTCTACATTATAAGATGAGAGAAATTCCAAAAGGCACTCACCTCGACTGTTGATGTCCGCACTACCCCACAAGGTATGATGCGCATTTGCATCACAGCCAATGATGAACGACTTGTTGTATTCTCTGCAATATTGGACTAATGAGGCGATCTCAGGAGGAGGTACCTCAGGAGCATCACCAGGAAAATAAGCCGAGCAACTACAATCTCGGTTTTTCCCTTGGTGGTTGGTACCTCAACCATGACTGTGACGATGTCCAGTTGAGGCGGCTACCCTCTTGGTTATGAATATAGAAACTGCTGTACAGTTGATTGTTATATTACTTTTAATGTTGTGAAATGCATTTCTGACACATTTAGAATTATATTATGTCATGTATAAGTAATGTTATTATTAGGAAAATACAAGTCTGTTGGGTGTACTTACAGAAAAAAGTGGTAAGTTTTCCATAAATCATAAAGTAATACAGAAGCTGTTACGGGGGCAGAGGCATGGTGATGGTTTAAAGGGTGTCCACGATGAAATTGCCACACACAAAATTGATTCGCAAAATTCGAGTTTTCATCCGATTGCCATCAAATTTTCAGGGATTGAGAAATAACTATTAAACTTCATTTTACCATTTTACTCGTATTTTATTTACAGTCCATACGCAAATGCCCGCACCTTGGCCTTAACCCCGGCCATAAGATTCTGCACAACCTGTGAATCAACCGTTTTTTGCATGTAAACCCATACTTTCTTCAGTTCCTCGACTGTCTTCACTACCTTAGGTCGTTTAAGAAGATGCTGCTTCATAATCGCCCAGTACTTCTCGATGGGGCGGAGCTCCGGAGTGTTGGGAGGGTTGAACATTTTCGGCACGAAATTGACCTTATTGTCCGCATACCACTTCAGCACGTCCTTGGAGTAGTGGCATGAGGCCAAATCAGGCCAGAAGATTGTTGGGACGTTGTGGGCCTTCAGGAGAGGAAGCAGCCGCTTCTGGAGGCACTCTTTTATGTACACCTGTCCGTTCATCGTGTCCTGGGTCACGAAAGGTGCACTCCGCTTCCCGCACGTGCAGATGGCTTGCCAAACCAGGAATTTCTTCGCAAATTTGGACATCTTCTGAGTGCGGACATGCTCCGGAACGCTGAACTTATCCTTGGCCGTGAAAAACAGGTTGCCGGGGATCTGTTTGAAGTCGGCCTTCACATATGTTTCGTCGTCCATGATGCAGCATTCAACTTTCGTCAGCATGTTGAGGTACAACTTCCTGGCACGGGTTTTGGCGGACTTGTTCTGCTTCTCGTCGCGATTAGGGGCCTTTTGTACCTTGAACTTTCGAAGCCCAGCCTTAGTTTTGGCCTTCTCGACAAAACTTTGGCTTAGGTGCAGCTTCTTAGCCACATCCCTAACGGAGGCGTTCGGATTTCGGTTGAAGGCCCCAACTACGCGGTTGTGATTTTTGGTGTTGTACGGAATACTTTTTCCTTCACTTCTGGGCTTCCGATCGGTGGTCAACCGTTCCTCGAACCGCTTAATCACTCGCGACACCGTGGAATTCGCGATTCCCAACGTTTTAGCGATGGAACGATGCGAGAGATCCTTGTTCTCGTGATGAATGCGCAAGATTTTATAACGCACGAGCTGTTCTTTCGACTCCATTTCCGCGAGTTTTGATCACAGAACTTTAAAACTTGCAGGATGTAAATAATGCACTATGAACTAAATCCACCCAAATTTTCATTAAATTCTACCCAACGGTTAAAAAGTTAGAGCAATTTCATAGTGTGGCAATTTCATCGTGGACACCCTTTACTACACCCTTGACAGTCTTTGGAAATGACGCCCCTTTCATTAGTGAAAAAAAACAAGAGCCTTATTTTGAAACCACCGGTTGATGAGTGATAAGCGTGACTGCTTTCTCACCCCAGTGAATATGGCTTCAATATTACATCTTCCGTCGAAAGGAAAGTGAATTATTTCCTTTCACAGATGTTAAAGATTGTACTCGAAAAAATACAACATGTTCTTTTGTGAATTACTTGGGTAAAAAATTATGAAATTTTCAGTAAAACTACTTTAGAGTGTAATGTTTAGATGTGAAAAATCTCGTCATAATATGTTAAGTGATTATCGAGATGGCTTCCGCCGGCGCCGGTGGTGTAGTGGTAAGCGTGACTGCTTTCTTCACACTCCAATGGGTCTGGGTTCAATCCCAGCCGAGGTCGGTGGGATTTTTCTGAGGCATAAAAATCTTTGGTCACGTCTTCCTTCGGAAGGGAAGTAAAGCCGTTGGTCTCGGCCCATGTGTGTTGAATGGGTACGATATCCTACGCAGGTGTGGAAGCTGCCTTCCTTCTTCTTCTTCTTCTTCTTCGCATTTCAAGCTTATTGCATATCGCATATTAGCTTATTGCGTGCTCTCAACTTAGTGTTCTAGATGCACTTCCACAGTTATTAATTGAGAGCTTTCGATGCCTGTACCATTTTTGCATTGGTATAATTGTGTGGCAAGTTCAATCATACTTATATGCCCAGGGAAGTCGAGAAATTTTCCAACCCGAAAAATTCATAGACCGGAGCGGGAATTGAACCCAGCCACCTCCACCATGGTCTTGCTTTGTAGCTGCGCCTTTACCAACTGAGCTAAGGGAGGCCACAAGCTGCCTTCCTGCACATTCGATTGCCGTCAATGGATGGCACTTAAGAAAAGCAAAGACCACGGACCCCGTGAACGCAAGGAAGGTGAGGGATTACTTCAAGCGCTTTCGATTCGGGACGTGGCCAAAAAGGTCAATTCTTCCGTCTGGTTCGTCCAGCAAATAATGAAGCGGGCCGGACTTCATGTCTTCAAGGTAAGGAAGGCGCCTAACCGAACCAATAAACAGCATACGGTGGCCAAATCTCGCACCAGGAAGCTGTACCGCGAATGGTTGGTGCAGCCGAAATGAAGAAGTTCCGGAAGAAGAAGGTCGACAAATTTGCCAAGAAGTACATAACGACCGGTACCATCAACGGCTAAATATATAAATAAGAATGCCTCCAAAAGCGCCTGCTGTCCTTTCTTCGGTCCCACGAAGGTGACACTCTATTTTGGCCGGATCTGCCATTACGCGAAACGGGTGATGGAGTGGTACGAAGCCAACGATGTTATTTTTGTGCTAAAGGAGGCAAATCCGCCAGAACATAGCCCAATAGAAAAAAATTTGAGCTATTATGAAAGCCAAGCTCCGGAAAACAGGGAAGGTCTTCAAAACCGACAAGGATTTGAAGAAAGAGTGGATGAAAGTGTGTAAGAAAGATGGCGCAAGTGTTGCACAGGATTTGACGGGTAGCGTTAAGTCCAAGGTGTGGGCACTTAGCCTAGGAGAGGAGGTTTAATAAACCAAGTTTGCAAGTTTGTGTTTATTTATTCCCTGAGAGTTTCAAAAATATCTGGTGATCTTTTTGTCTGTTGCATTTTTTTTCGAGTACAGTCTTTATTTCAGAATTCTTCTAAAATTAGTTTGAAATTTTCTCTAGGAGTCCCTTGAAAATTTCTTTAAAACAGTCCAGAAAATCTCTGCATATCATTTCAAAGAAATCATGAAATGCTTTGTTAGATTTTCATTGAACTTTAAAGCTTTTTTCTTTAAATTAATTGAAGCTTCCTTTTTTGAATGACTCAAAAAATTCACATCAGAATTTCTTCAAAATTTGTTCAGAATTCTCTTGAAGTTCACCTCTTAATTCTTTTGAATTTTTTTAGGATATTTTCATGAAGTTCTCTACAAATTCTCTTCGTTATGCCCTTTAAATTATTCACGGAATTCCCTTAAAATTATTCTCAGGAATCCTTTGCAATTGTATTGGAATTACAGATTAAATTTCAAATAGCCGTATCTGCATTTGTAAACAAAGAATCAAACGTCAATTTGACGAAACTCTTGGCTCACCCAGGGGCGGAATGTGCAGTCAAATTGGTCTAAAGGGCGAACACGAAATTATTGCGACACATTCAACAGGGCATAACTTTTTTACCATTGGGTAAAAATCAACCAAATTTTGCATACTTTCTCATTGATGTGTATTGTGTACATGCTGTCAAACTCGAAGTCGTGTTTTTCGATTCAACGAAAATGGAGGTGAACCAACGCGAGTGGAGAGAACAAATTCTTTCCAAACACCTGGAATTTCCTGACCTGTCGCACCGGCAGTTGGGAAAAATGATGAACATTCGCCATTCAACCGTCTCCATAGTGTTGAAGCGGTTCCAGGAGCGGTTGACGTTGGACCACGGCAAAGGAGCTGGAAGAAAACTGGGACCGGAGAACAAAAAGACGGAGGGAAAGGTGAAGCGGATGATTAAAGCAAATCCCAACGTCTCAAGCCGTGATTTGGCTAAAAAGATCGGCATGTCGCAGAGCTACGTCCAGAATGCAAAGAAGAGAGCTGGACTACATACATACAAGGTACAGAACTTCCCACACCGCGATGAGCGGCAACAATCGACGGCTAAAACTCGGGCACGGAAGCTCTACGAGAAGATGCTGACAAAATATGGCTGCTGTGTGATGGACGACGAAACGTATATAAAAGCCGATTTTAAGCAAATTCCGGGGTTGGGGTTTTTCACCGGCAAGAGCAAGTTCGATGTGGACGACAAATTTAAGAAGAAGAAAATGTCGAAGTTCGCCTCCAAATATCTCATTTGGCAGGCCATCTGCTCTTGCGGACTGAGGAGTGAGCCTTTCGTGACAAAGGGCACAGTAAATGGCGAGATCTACAAATCTGAGTGCCTCGAGAAGCGCCTTTTGCCGTTCTTGCAGCAGCACGACGAAGCTCCGCTATTTTGGCCAGATTTGGCATCATGCCACTATTCTAAAAGTGTCCTGGAGTGGTATGAGGCCAATTCTGTCCATTTTGTTCCAAAGGACATGAATCCGCCAAACTGTCCGGAGCTGCGCCCGGTGGAGCAGTACTGGGCAATAATGAAGCGGGAACTTCGGAAGAGCAAGAAGACAGTCAAAGACGAGAAGGACATGTTAAGAAAATGGAAAAAAAAACTGAGAAACTGGTACCGGATGACACTGTAAAGACTTTGATGGAGGGCATCGAGCGAAAATGCGTTCAATTTTACACTCAAGGCTCCATCGATAACTTTTCTTTTGATTTTTGAAGTAAATATATGTATAAAACTACCCTAAAATTTTGGTTTGATTCTAAACATTATAAGAAAATTGGCATGACATTTTCGGTGTCGCAATAATTTCGTGTTCGCCCTTTACTTAAAATCCATCAATGAGATATAAACAACAATCAATACGAAACTAACGATTTTAAATTGGCTCACCACTTTAGTAGCCTATTGGTCCCAAGCAAACGATTAACGTACCCTATTCTAGTTGAAATTCTATTACTACACTATGTTTGTTTTGATTCGCTATGAAAGTTTGACAGATATCATCAGGGGTGTGTGGATTCATGCAGAACATGCAGGGGTGAGTGAAATAGCTTGGGACTGCTTGGGACCGTTGTTCTAGTACTGAGTGAGCCAAAAATAATAATGATTTTCTTCGGGACCCAGTGGTCTTAAAGTTACCTCTATGATATAAATGTGTAAAGCTCATTGCGTTTGTCATCACTTTCGTTCTCCCGCTGTTTACACGGTTGAAGGAGTGTGACGTCAAACTCCGTCATCCATTTAATCAGCTGGAGAACGAAAGAGACGATAAATTTACTGACCCTCTCCTGTTTACGCACATTGATTTTCCATATCTAGATAGAGCTGGAATTAGGGCGTAACAGCTTTTGTAAACAATGACTTCTATCGATGATTCCTAGGAACTCAAGGCACGCCCACGCAGACGCATATAACCATCGGATAGGGGAAGTCTTTCCCTACCCGAGTGGGGCGGACACATCTAAATCTCAATTCTAGATGCTCAAAAATCTCACACTAGCGAATCAAACTTCGAAAAATCTTCTTTGATTTCTCGCATCTATTTGCATCCCGCATCATCTTTTTGCAGGAAATCTTCAAAATCGTCATCAATCTTCTTCATATCTACTCAGCGTGCACGCTGCTAACCACAGCAAAACACAATTTTTCCTGCATCGTAGATAGAGTCACCTCCCTCGGTAGAAACTGCAAATGATTATTCCGTTAATTTTGGCGATCACGAAACCTTCTTCTTGAATGGGGTATCTGCCCATAACTTGTATTGCAGCCATCCAGCTCTATCCGCCACCTAGTTACCTTTATCGGGAGAGACTCGATACAGCTGGAGGTTTATTTGAGTTACCTCTGTAATTGTTGCGACAAATTGGAGTCATTTGGAGCGAAATGCTTAAGAATTCTTGCTTAAAAATCAAAAAAGTTC